GATTCTCAACAAAAATCTACCAATCATATCTAATGGACAGACAAGATGTTACTATTGATAATTGTCTTCAATCCCAAATATTAAGGGATTGTTTTCCCTATTTTATAAGATTACTTTCCTATTTAATTGAGTAGTGCCTATTATTTAACATTTATGGGTAAGTCCATTAGATCAGGATAGACATATGGGTCTATAAGTAAATAAGAATAAAGTTAAGTTCCCCAATAGCAAGGACGTGATGCTCATACTTTTTCCTAACTTTTAGAAGCTTAACTTTATCCTTTTCTACTTGTAACCTCATATGTCTATCCAAACTTATATGGACTTACCCAAAAGTATTAAATAATAGGCATTACCCAATTAAATAGGAAACTTAAAAGATAAAAACATTAATACCATAAAATATGAAAAAACATTAATCCCATAAAATATGAAAAACAATCCCTTAATATTTGGAATTAAAAACAATTATCAAGAAATCTCTACCTTTGCTTGAATTCTAAAAGAGATTATCATCGATCGTCTTCTCCACACATGCCTCTACTTGTGTTTACCTTAACAACACATTAATTAAGTCCAACCATAGCTTGAATGTGACGGAACAGGCTTTGTCAGCATAGCTGCAACATTTCTGTTAATCTTGCGTAACAAGATATCACTTTCAACTATTATCTTCTAGATAAAATAGTACTTGACATCAATATGCTTCATCATTGCATTATATACCTGGTTTATTGGTCAAATGTATTACACTCTGACTATCAGAATAAATAATAGTCTCATCTTGTCGTAAGCACAAATCACTTACAATCCCTCTAAAGTCATTTGGCTTCTTTCACTGCCTCATTAACTGCAATTTATTTTGTTTCAATTGTAAACAAGTCAACCATGATTTGTAGAATCGACCTCCAACTAATTTGAGTTCCTGTTAGTGGAAATACATAACATGTAGTCCTACAATCTAAATCACAATCAACATAACCAATAACCTTATCACCAAACTTGTTATCTCTATCAAACACCAGACCGACATCTAATGTACCCTTTAGGTAACGTAAAATCTATTTTACCACATGTCAATGCTTTGTTTCTAGATTAGCCATATACTTGTCAATAACAATGATAGCATGAGAAATATTTGCACTCACATGAGACTTTCAACTACATTCGCATAGAAAACACGCAAAATATATTCCTTTTCAACATCTAAACTTGGAGATACTACTGCCGACAACCTGAAATGTGTAACAAAAGGAGTACCCATGGGCTTTGAATTTTCTATCCTGAATCTAACGATGACTTTCTCAATGTACTCATTTTGAGATAGCCACAATTTACCCAACTTTCAATCTCTCCATATTTCCATGCCCAAAATTTTTTTTATTGAATCTAAATATTTCATCTCAAGTTCTCTGGCAAGCTGGGTCTTTATTTGATTTAGGAGAAAACATCGATCGTTTTCGCCCATAAATATAACCACATCTGTAACGAACCACGTAAATTCTGGTGTCTTTTTTTTGTTATTTATTTTTTGCTTTATTTTTCTTCTTTGTTGCTAGTTTTTTGTTTTTTCTCGTATTTTATTTATCAAAAAATTAACTTGTCGAGTTTAGAGCTTCTGCGCACAATAGTTACATGCATACAATGTGCGCATGCATGTAAGATAGGGTCCCAAGCTAGGGATTTCACAATCTAAAAGATGGTCGAATGCCACCTATTGCTTAGAAGTGATATTTCTATGGAAATGGATGGTCTAGATGAGCCAGCTACTTCATACCCACATAGGTTTGGCTCGGGCCTACACCAACTTCCTCTATGTGTGGTTAAGCTCTACACCAACTTGGTAAGAAATAGACCACCTTGTTTTATTTTATTTATTTATTGTTTTGAATCTTTTACTTTATTTTTTCCTTGAGGACCTCTACTTGGACGTACTCATTATCACCCCAATATTTACAGTTCAATAAAA